TCTCTCTCTCTCTCTCTCTCTCTCTCTCTCCTAGAAATAAAAAAAAAAAAAAAAGTCTTGGGGGTAAACTGAGGTCCCTTGTCAGATGAAGGAACCCAACACACACCAACTGATGGTGTTTTAGCCTGGGATAAAAATTGGGAGTATAAATACAGTCTGCTAAGTAAAGAATATTAAGGCAAAAAAGGAATTAAACTTTTTAGAGAAACTTACACACTTCTGTACATTCTTACACAGAACAATCACCATCGCTGTATAAACAAACTTGAAAGTAACTCATGGCCAAAATTATTTTATTCAGGTCTCAGTGGATGACAGTACCAAAGGCCTGAGCTATATAAAACCATGAGTTTAGACGCTAGATGCCCACACAAATCACACAGGTTTCAAGTCAAATCTTCAACCCAGTAATGCTATCACTCGAAATTCCAAAAGTATATCCACCAAATGAGTAATTTAAACAGAGAAGCAAACATAGCCCTTGGCAGAGGGTCCCTCAGGAGCAGCCCTGTGGGCACCATGCCACCTGCTGCTTCCTGTCTCAGGTTAACAGATGGTGGATGGAGACGAGCGGCTGATCCCACCACAGAGAGCAGCTCCCGCATTGAGTGACAGTCCAACCAAAGCGTGAGCGCTCAGATCCTCTGTTTTACTGGAGCCAGGAGAAAGACACGGCTCTTATTTCAGCTTTCCTATCTTACCTTTCTACAAATAGCCCAAAACAAAAGGGAAATAATCCCTCTAGTGGTAAAATACATCAACAGCAAAGCACAGGCTGAGGTGGCCCAGCTAAAGTTGCCTGATTTTGACTGCAGAAGGTAGAAACCACTCACAACTGTGAGGCAGGCAGGCAGGACACTCAAGCCGGTGATTTTCGTCATCAGATAAAATACAGATGTCCAGTTAAATTTGAAATAATGAATATTTTTTAGTGTAAGAATGGCCCATGCAATATTTGAGATATATTCATATGAAAATATTTGTTGTTGCTTATCTGAAACTCAAATTTAACCGGTCCTATACTTTATCTGCAAAATCTGGAAACAATACTAATAATGGATTTCAACAATTACAGCAGCAGTGTCTGACTGAGCTCCAAACAGAAATCCCCTGATAAGCATATAATCACCGAAAATGGTACAATACACACCCATGATGTATTTGGCCTCCCCGACACAGTCCAAATGCACAGAATACTAGAATTAATTCAGTTAGAAAAGGTTCATTGCACCTTCGAAGGTTATAGCATATAACAGGTTAAAATATCTCATCATTTCTATTGCTAGTATATTCAGATGACTTCTCTTTTTTGTTTAAAAAGTTTATTTTGCAAGATTAATACACTACATTATTTTGAAAGCTAGGAAAGACAGGCTAGAAAACAAAACCATTAAACAACCATATTCCCACCAACCTACAGAAATACTGATATCAGATAACTGTTCGACCTAACAGGTATAAGTACATGTCATTATTGTTTATTTACTTATTTATTTTGAAGGAGAGAGACAGACTGTGAGCAGGTGAAAAGGGCAGGCATCGAGAGAGAGAGAGAGAGAAGACAGAGAGAGACGGAGACAGAGACAGAGAGCGAGCGAGAATCCCAAGCAGTCTCCACGTGGAGGCCCGATTTGGACTCAAACCTCCCAACCATTAGATCCTAACCTGAGCTGAAATTAAGAGTTGGATGCTCAACCTACTGAGCCGCCCAGGCGGCCTGCATGACACTGTTTACTGCTTTTCCACTAATATATTCATTCTTTCATTTATTTATTTATTTTTGAGAGAGAGAGAGAGAGAGAGACAGCGTGAGCAGGGGAGGGTCAGAGAGAGAGGGAGACACAGAATCTGAAGCAGGCTCCAGGCTCTGAGCTGTCAGCACAGAGCCCGATGCGGGGCTCGAACCCACGAACCGTGAGGTCACGACCTGAGCCGAAGTCGGACGCTTAACCGACTGAGCCCCCAGGCGCCCCAACGTATTTATTCTTAAATAGGACTTTACCCACATGGAGCTTACCTTCCAGCGGAAGGAGACAAAGTTACAAACAAAAATATGATCCACAAGAGGACCCGTGCGGTAGAGAAAATGACGCCAAGCGGGAGAGAGTGTTGGGAGACGGGGTGAAGCCTGGTGTTTACGTCAGATAGTGAGGGGCGATAACCACCCTCCCCCCATATGCGGACACAAGAGGAGGCCTGGAGTCAGTGCTGCAAGCAGTCCTTGCAGTTTCGGGTTTTACCTGAGGGAACACCGAAGCTTCTGGAAGGTTAAGTCCCACGCGTGCGCAGTTGTGCAGCGGCGGGGACGCAGCCCGGCAGAAGGCGGCGGGCGATGCCCACGGCCGGGCCGGGGGGTGGCACGCTCCACAGGGCGAGCGAACGGGGAGGGGCAGGGACGCACAACCCCAGCCCTCAGGGGCCTTCCTGCGGCGAGACCTGACGCTCCGCGCATGCCTGCCGCCGCCAGTCTTCTCCTCCCAGGGGCCTGCGCGGCGGCGCGGGACCGCCTGTGACCCCGCGGTGACCCCGGAGGGGCGCAGACCTCGCGCTGGGGACGGCTCTGCGCCGAGCCGGAGGAGGACTTCCCGCAGCCGAGGGGCCGCTGGGCTCTCACCTGGGCAGGCAGGTGCTCTGAGTGCGACGGCAGCGAGAGTGTGTGACCTGAGTGTCCGGGTCCGGCGCCCGGGGGCTCAGTCGGCCCAGGTCCTGGGTTCAAGTCTCGCACTGAATGACCCCGCTGCTCGCTGGCTCTCGCGCTCTCTCCCCCCCTCCCCCATCTGCTCCTCATGGAATCTCTCTCTCTCTCTCTCTCTCCCCCTCTGCTCCTCATGGAATTCTCTCTCTCTCCCCCCCCCTCTGCTCCTCATGGAATTCTCTCTCTCTCTCCCCCCCTGCTCCTCATGGAATTCTCTCTCTCTCTCTCTCCCCCCCCCTGCTCCTCATGGAATTCTCTCTCTCTCCCCCCCCC